GGACATTTTACACTACGCTTCTAGTCCCAAACTAAGAAAATATATCAAACTACTTATCCTATTGATTAGGATTTCATGTAATCAACAAATTATAACACAATTGGGTATCCTTCAATTTTTAAAGCAGAAATTCTCTTGTTCATCACATTATTCATTTCCCCTAATGGAATCGAACCCAGATTCGGCATTTTAATCATAACTACTAAACGATCGTGGTTTCCAGCACATTCGCCTTACAATTTCCTACACGTCCACCATTTTCCTCAGAAGTCGTGAATCCTTAAACCCATTCGCTCTTAAACCACTTTTATTACCTGCAAACTGTTCCCATTCGATAAACAATAATGAGAAACGAGAAATGGAAAAAGCCAAACTGCCGGTTTACGGTCTCAATGGCGTTTGTTAACTACTTCGATAGCTTATCCGAATATGAGTTCCCCAGTGTCGTCCAGGCACAACACAATCAACAAAACACAGAAACAATCGAACAGGTACCTTGTCTGCCGCCGCGCTGCTGGTAGGTACTCTGTAGGACTCCGCCGGCCGGTAGTTAGGGCTTCGCCCGGTGTCTTCGGTGGTTCACTTGAGTCACTAACTTCAAGCAAAGTACGGTGGAGGCCTCACACACAAAACATTTCCAAAAAGTCACCAAATTTCACATTTCCGTTGGAGCACACAATAAGCGTGGCACTCGCGAAGCCGGCCCAGACGCGAGAGAGCGCGTTGCATAGTTTTCGTTCGTTTGCCGTCGTGGAGCGCGGCGCTGCTGGTAGTCGCGCGCGCTCGCCGTGTAAGTTTTGGCGGGACGGAGTTGGCGGCAGATTTAAATAGGTCCCGCGCAATCGTACCGTGCTCATTGAAAGCATGTGTGCCTGAACATACACTCCCCCCCGAACCAAGCTTGCCTTGGTTGACCTAATTACTAATAATAGGAAGCCTACCGAGTTTAGATACAGGCCGTAAGAGCCTGCCGTTTGCAGTCTGTACCTCTACTACTCGTATTATTTTGTCCTTGCCGGGTAAAAGCTTTACTACACGACCGCGTTTCCACTGTAAAGGCGGGTAATTATCCTCTTTTATCAAAACTAAGTCACCGAGTTTTATTGGCTCTGTCGTATCCGTCCATTTGTGTCTTATTTGGAGGGTATGAAGGTATTCGTCGCGCCATCGACACCAAAAGTGTTGTGAAAGACGTTGCAACAATTGGAAACGATTAAGCCGGCCGATATGAACTTCTTCAAAATTGTACTCAGGCAGGGCAACTAAGGGCTCGCCGATCAAGAAATGTCCGGGTGTTAGAATTTCGAGATCATTCGGGTCTGAACTTAATGGAGTCAATGGTCGAGAATTCATAACAGCTTCAACACGCGTAAAGAAGGTAGTAAGTTGTTCAAAGGTCAACCTTTGTTCTCCAAGAACTCTACGCATGAGAGATTTAGCAGATTTAACAGCAGCTTCAAAGATGCCACCCATGTTTGGGCTGCTAGGTGGGTTAAATAGCCATGTGACGTTAGATTTTGCTAATTCTCGGCCTATTTCGTAGTTATGATCACGCAGATATACGAATAGTTCCTTTAGATATTTATCAGTTCCGGTAAAGTTGGTGCCGCAATCGGATCTCACAAGTGAAGGTAAGCCGCGACGGGAAACGAATCTCGTGAATGCGTCAACGAAGGCTTCGACTGACAGTCCCGTGACTACTTCTAGATGTACCGCCTTCACCGTTAAACACACGAAAACGCAGAGATAGCACTTCTCTACACGAGAGCTTCTTAACGAGCTTGATTTTATGTAAAAGGGTCCCGCGAAGTCCGTACCTACACTTTGAAACGGTCGTAATGATCTCACACGGTCTGGAGGGAGATCCGCCATCAATGGTTGAGCAAGTCTAGGTCGCGCTCGATAACACTGAATGCATTTAAACGTAACACTCCGAGTTACGCGTCTCACGGATAAAATCCAATAACTGCGTGACAATATTGAGGCCAAGGCATTGGCTCCTACGTGGCAGTGTGAGTGATGATAATATTCTACCAGACTTTGGGTAAAGGCACCCTTCCCCGGGAGTAGAATTGGGTGTTTCGCGTTAAATGGCAGGTTGGAATGGCGCAATCTACCACCCACTCGGACTAGCCCGTCAGTGTCAAGAAACAGATTTAATTTCTTTAAGTGCGACTTAATTTTAGAATTTGATTTTAAAGAATCTATTTCTTCTTTGAAAGCCTCCGCCTGAACTAAAAGAATAAGTTTTTTAAGTGCGTTCCTACGTTCCCCGACCGACAAATACTTGTTTTTATTAATTTCGTTTTTATTTTGAATACCCTGTATAAAACGTAGGATAAAACCGGTTACATTTATTAGCTTATCAAATGAACTATATCGCTCAAGCAAGTCAAAGTTAACGTTGTCCTGTGATACTGCAACATTAGTAACTACAGTTTTTAATTTAATACCAGGTAGTGAACTTTCGGGAATATCCGGTTTGTTAGAAGGCCACTCTTCGGGTGGAAGACAGAGCCAGTCAGGGTTCCACCACAAGGAGTGGTTAAGCAGTTCGGCTGCCGATGTGCCACGCGAGGCCGCGTCGGCACAGTTCTTGTCGGTTGGTACGTGCCGCCATGTGATTGGGACTTCCGATGTTATTATTTTTGTTACCCGATTTCCCTCATAGACTTGTAATTTATGTGGTTGCGTCCGAATCCATGCCAACACTATAGTACTATCACACCATCCGAAAACATCCTCAATGCGAATACCCACTTCGCTCGCGAGTGTATCATAAACATGTTTTGTTAAATTTACCAACAAAACCGCACCGTTAAGTTCCGACTGAGGTATTGTAACCTTTTTCTTAAGTGGTGATACGCGTGATTTAGCCAATAAAAGATGAAGAGATACATGACCGGTATCATTTACTGTCCGCAAATAAACAACCGCACCGTGGCCCGCCGATGATCCGTCACAAAATCCGTGTAAGGAGTAGGTATTATTTTTACTTCCGTGTATCCGTAAACGTCGTGGTATTGTAAGCCGAGTCAAGTTAGGTAAATCTGAGAGAAGATCGCGCCACTTCTGTACTAGGGCCTCGGGTGCAGGTGCATCCCATTCAACACTTTTACTGCTATCTCCCGTGCTTAGCAACTCCTGCAATATTAGTTTCGCGCGAAAAATTACCGGACATATCCACCCGAGCGGGTCAAATAACTTAGCTGTCGACGACAAGATGGTACGTCGCGTGACCTGTGTTTCGGTAGGGACATTTACCTTATATGTAAAACAATCCGTCTTTGGTTCCCACTGAACTCCCAATACCTTAATACAGCCAAACTGATCTTCTTTATCGAAACTACTAGGTACTTCACAATGATCTGACGGCAAGTCCTGTAACAACCGTGGGTCATTCGCAGACCATTTGCGAAGTTCGTAATTTGCCGTGGACATTAATGCAATAAGTTCGTCACGAACGCCTATCGCCTCCTCAATAGTGTCTGCGCCTCCGTTTAGGTCATCGACAAAACTATTATGCTTCAAAAGTTTAGCTGCTCTAGGATAAACCGAACCTTCATCAGCCGCTAACTGCTGCAAACACCGATTGCAACGTCTTTCACAACACTTTTGGTGTCGATGGCGCGACGAATACCTTCATACCCTCCAAATAAGACACAAATGGACGGATACAACAGAGCCAATAAAACTCGGTGACTTAGTTTTGATAAAAGAGGATAATTACCCACCTTTACAGTGGAAACGCGGTCGTGTAGTTAAACTTTTACCCGGCAAGGACAAAATAATACGAGTAGTAGAGGTACAGACTGCAAACGGCAGGCTCTTACGGCCTGTATCTAAACTCGGTAGGCTTCCAATTATTAGTAATTAGGTCAACCAAGGCGACCTTGGTTCGGGGGGGAGTGTATGTTCAGGCACACATACTTTCAATGAGCACGGTACGATTGCGCGGGACCTATTTAAATCTGCCGCCAACTCCGTCCCGCCAAAACTTACACGGCGAGCGCGCGCGACTACAGTAGCGCCGCGCCGCGTCCACGACGGCAAACGAACGAAAGCGATGCAGCTCGCCCTCTCGCGTTTGGGCCGGCTCCGCGAGTGCCACGCTTATTGTGTGCTCCAACGGAAATGTGAAATTTGGTGACTTTTTGGAAATGTTTTGTGTGTGAGGCCTCCACAGTACTTTGCTTGAAGTTAGTGACTCAAGTGAACCACCGAAGACACCGGGCGAAGCCCTAACTACCGGCCGGCGGCGTCCTACAGAGTACCTACCAGCAGCGCGGCGGCAGACAAGGTACCTGTTCGATTGTTGCTGTGTTTTGTTGATTGTGTTGTGCCTGGACGACACTGGGAAACTCATATTCGCTATCGAAGTAGTTAACAGTATAGATGTGGTATAGATTCTGATTTTAATTAGCGATTAAATGATACAAAGCTAATCTTAATCGGGTAGTTTAAACAATAGTTTACATCACTACTTAGGTTGTCATTGGCAGTAGAAATGCTGAGTTCCTATTGGTCAAAAATTGTTACGTCAATAATAATCAAGTTGACGTTCTCAGGAAAATGATAACCTATAATCACAATTTTAATTGCTACAAGTAAAACTGTACAATGGATAAGTTTATAATTAATTAATAACTTACTTTTTAAACATGTTGAATCCCGAAAATTGATAGTTTTCTAATAAAATCTAGATATTTAGGCACTGAACTGACCACTAGCACATTGACATTTCACTTGACAGGTATTTTTTTTAAACGAAGTCATGGGAATGAACATTGGGAATCTTTCGGAAACACTTTTTCAAAATCGGCGTGTTTTACATTTACAATACAATTAGGAAAGTTTTTGAGATCCGTTCCGTTCGAATAAAAACTGCCCAAAACTGTATAGGTTGTATTTAAGGTTAAAAATATAGTTGATAAAATTTTTTCGTTTAGATCCATCCACTTCTTTTGAGAACTCTAATCCATATCTGTGTTTGAGAACTTCATCCATTAAAAAGTAAACTGTCATCTTCCTTCACCGGCCGAAAGAAAATAATCCCACATGGTCGTTAATTTTTCGTGAGTTTATTAAAAACAAGCTGAAAATGTCTACTTTGTTGGAAGTGTTAGTCACAGCAGATTCCAACAATTCATTATGGACAACCTGCGTATGGGACCACCACACAGGCACGAGTTTGATGACCTATAAAGGCGGCGGAACAGCTGAAACGAGAACAGTTTCATTTATCGGTAATGACTACATTGCAGCCGTAGAAAGGATTAAACCAGTATTACATGTGTGGCCACTAAATTCGCAGCAGACAGTCCAAGGCATGCGTTTCATTCTGCCCGGGAAAGCTGGGGCTTTGGCAATCTCTAAAGACGGAGCATACATTTTGGCTGGCATCGATGAGAAAATTTATCTATGGCAGACCTTCTCGGGCAGTCTCCTGACTATTATTAGCAGACATTATCAAAAAATTGTCCTTTTGAAGTTTACACCTGATGGAAAGTACTTCGTGTCGGCAGCTGAAGATGGCATGGTTATGGTCTGGTCACTCGTAACTGTAGCGGCTCACCCTGAAGTGGAGCTTGTAACCCAGACAACTGCCGGGCAGCACGACCCAGTATACATATTCTCTGACCATTCCTTACCAGTTTCGGACATGTGTATAAGTAAAACAGGCATGCATGGACGCCTAGCAACTGTATCAAGTGATAGAACATGCAAAATCTATGACCTAACTTCTGGAGAGATGTTATTGAACATAATATTTGATGTACCACTATCAGCTATAGTTATGGATGTATTAGAGTTGAATGTCTTCATTGGATCGACTGAAGGAAAGATTTATCAGTTCAGTTTAACAAATCCTCCCCGAAACAGAGATTTTTTGGTTAACACAGAAGCTAATTGTCCTACTTTTAATAGCCACACTAAGGCTGTCACCTGTTTGTCTGTTTCTCTTGATGGAGAAACATTAATGTCAGGTTCTAATGATGAACAGGTTATTCTATGGCACATCCATAGCAAGCAGATTGTAAGAACCATCAAACATAAAGGACCAATCACCAATGCATTTTTCACTGTCAATTACCCTGCTATTTTTAAGCAAAACTTTACACCTAGCCTTGTTTTGCACAGCTTAGATAGGACTTTAGAGAATGATAATGAAGAAGTTGCAGAATTGGAGATTCTTGTCAATAAAAAGATATCATTTTGGCCAGATTCTGTACAAAATGGCTTTGATGCTAGTCAACCATCTAACGAATTGGAAAATGAATTCAAGTTGAAAGAACTTAGTCTGAAGGAAGAAATGCAGAAATTAAAAACTATAAATGCAAATCTTTATGCTTTTTCAATTAATAAAGCTCTTAGTTCCGTAACAGAGTCTAATGCAAATGTAACCAATAGTAATAAGAAAAAGAGAAAAATGAAGAACTGAATAAATATCATTGTCTAACAAAGTATTTTTTATTTCTTATCATTTGAATGTTATTACTTATTGTGATTATACATAGACCTTTAAGATAAATACTATTATTACCTAGTTATTTCAATATTTTTTCTCTAAGGTACTAGATTTTATTCTATCAGTAATACCAAAAGTTCTCCAAGGTTCTTATCAAAATTGAACTACGTAAGCGCTATGGTGATAATACATTTTATAAGGTTAAATATTAAGAATGCTTTTCGCTGATAGATGGCAGTAAGTATGTTTTCTTTTGTATTTTTTAAGTTACCACTACTCATTCATAGATGGCAGCAGCAATTTTTTTAAAGTTGAGCTAGCGAGCTCAATTCTAAACACGTATCCGATGAGCCCAACACTATACCCATAGACAATAGAGCAACGGAAATTTATATGTCAAATTTGTCAAAACGTCACCCATCCGTTCGCAAACGCACTTGAATTTTTATTTCAAATTACGCCCGTAATTATTATCGTGCTTTCAGTGTTTTTCGTAATGTGGTGAAATGAAAAATACACGCTAATTATAGTTATAAATATGTTTTTATGACATCTTTTTACTAAAAGGTATGAGGTACAGACAGAAGTAAAAATAAACTGGGCTCTGCGTCACAAACAAAACAGCAACTATTTTGTTTACCATTTTTAGGAGACGAGATGTCGAAGGCTGTAATTATACCAGAGTGTGCTAAGGATATCAAGGGTATGAAAGATGAGATATCCATCTCGCCAACAGAGAAGAAAGATGGGGCTATGGGCCTGTTCAGTCGCTTGTTGAGGTTTGATTCGCTCAAAAGGAACAGTACCCCGGAAAGTCCTACGGCTACAGAGCCTCTGACTACTTACTACGGTGTCTATATTCCCTGTGAAATCAAAAAGGGGCCCGATGAAGGTATGCAGTATAATAATAATAATTGATTGTTCTTGTACTTTATTTGTTTTGCTTTTGTCTCTGTATTGTATTTTGCAGCACTTTCTAGAGATAAGATAGTGAAACTGTAATCTATATGGGTCAAATAAGTTCTTGTTTCACTTCCTAGTGTATTTTCATTGCTTCTGCTCTCTACTGGCCTTGGGGCTATTTTTGCAGTTTTCAGCAGTTTAATAATAATTGTTGATGTAAATACACTGTAATCTGTAGCATTTTATTGAGGCTTTTCCCTTACTGTAGTAAACTGTATTTCATACCGTTTATAATATTCCTGTTATCTTATTTGTTTTGATTTTGTGTAATCTAGGAACTTGTGTAAAACTAAAATCTTGACAAGTTTATTATAAAAGTGGAAAAAAACAAAATAATATCTAGAAGATCTAACACACTCCCACAAATTCATTTTCAAAAATGTTGGTCATGATGAATATTTTTTGAATCGACAGAAGCATTGCACGTGTACAAGAACAAGTCAGAAGCGTTGGAGCTGGTCCGGCGCTACAAGCTGGCGAGGTTCAAGGCCTTCAACAACCGTCAGGATGCCGTCTCCTTTGCGCTTAGGGGTGCCGAGCCAGTGGACACACACGATGGAAATGATAACTGTAAGTTTTAAAATTCTTTGCAGATTAATTACGTAAAGTATCTAATTGATCCTGAATCTGGTGATGGTTGAACAGTTGCCGCCATATTTTGAGCTTTTGAAATAGATAATAACATTATAAATAAGACTAGATTCAGCAAATCATAACTATTTTAAGATTAAAGGCCCATGCTTACACCTTAATTTGTTTAGGATTTATGAGGGTATTTCCCATTCTATGATTAGCTCTTTCTTGTACATCATTACGATAATAAAAATATCAATATTAACAGTTAACTATTATTATACTACTTATCTTCATGTTCTTCTTCTTCTTCTTCTTTTTAATGGCGATGAACTTGTGTTTTTCGCCACAGGGCACACTGTTCCGCCAATGTCACGTGCGCAGCTTTAACACGGTGTAGGTATTTTGATAAATTTAAATTTTTTAAAGTTATGCTAAGCAAAATACCTAAAACAAAGAGACATCACAAATAAGACAACACAATACATAAACATAACACATAAAAATAAACACAAATGTGGAGGTTTAGTTTTCTGCTAGCTCTTGCTTGTTACAAATTAATTTTGTTAATGTTAATAAAATTAACTAGAGATTTCAAAGTATGGGGATTAGTAAAGCTAAGGACACATTTAAGGTTAGTCGGAAAAGGGAAATTTTTGGGAAGGAAGTCGTATAACGAATGGTCAATTTTGGGGCAGTTGAAAAAGATGTGGTTAGCTGTTCCTTCATCCAAGCCGCATTCGCATATGGAGCTATCCTTAATCCGCATTTTGGCAAGATGCACAGGGGTACATGCGTGACCTATACGCAGGCGAGAGATAATGGACACTGTCTTTTTTGGCAAGTGGGGGTGTTTGAAGAACCAGGGTCTAGAGGGAATATTAAACATTATGATAAAATATAATTTCTACCTAAATACTGTGCTTCGGTTATCGAAGCATTTATTGGAACTAAATTATTTTCTTATCTGTGTTGTCTATAAACAGTGATAGCATTTTTGAATACGATTGACCTGAGATCAGCAACTGACATGCTTTATCAGTTCAACCTATTTACTAACAAACACAATACTCTTTGTAAATAAATAAGAAACCTCCCAGGATATGCATAGCTTTCTCATTACACTCCTATCATGGTATCAATATGATTTAAAGAATTTAAATCAATTTGTCAAACACTTATGTGGTAAATTACTACATAAAATATGCATGCAAAATTGCGCTATGCGAATCGCACCTAAGAAGATGCGAAAATATTCCATCATTTTCCTTGTAACTTGCAAATGAATACCTACATTAGCAATCATAATCATCTATGTCTAGTAGTAGGCGCATATCTTAATATAAGTACATACATACTAGCCATGTACAGATTTTAACCATTGTCGTTTACCATAGACTACCTAGACCATTAAAAATCCGTGATGATGATTTTTGGCGTCACAATAACGCCAAAAAAGTTTTGTTCCAGAAGTAAGTGTTTTTTTATTCACAAAAATGTGTACGTAAGCAATTGCGCAAATTGCCAAGGCCGGCGTCAGCGCATTTCAATCAGCCGATTGTTCTTTGTGTCGATGCCATCAGTCTTCAGCAAAGTCTAGGTTTTTTATATTGTTTATACTGTCAAATGTGGTTGGCGTGCAAACTTATTGCAGCTGGAATATTTCTGATTGTCCAATAAGAAAGACGATGCTTAACTACCCGGACCCTAAAATACCTAGCATAATGTGGGCTGCGTGAATCGAGTAGTATAATCGATTATGATCAATTTCATGATGATAAATCTAGAAATATCCAGATATTAAGAACGAAATAAATAATCAGATCTGAGTAAAAATAACTTGTGTCTGTAGTTCTTTAGTAGATAATTTTTCCATTATAGACATACTTTAGTTACCTTTAAGTGGTAAGCTATATCTCTGGGTACTTGTTCTTTATCAGTGATTCAACTTTCAATTGTAACTAACACATACGATTAACGCCCGTTGCGTTAATATATCTCGATTACTCAACAATTAACAAACAATGGTAGCCTGTTTACTTTGTATCATAGTTTATTTATACAATAGCATGCGAGACAACATAAATATGATGACAAATGATAGTAAACATTCTTCATAATACTTGAAACGCGAAAGTAAGTGACAATGTTTCATAAATGTATGTTAGTTATTATAGGAATTAGGAATGTATATAATCATGAATGTATTTACATTTTATAGGTAAGCTATAAAATTACACGAAGTCTCAGATATTCGCTAGAATGTTAACAAATACAATTTTAATTTTAATTTCTCAGAATAATTTCACCTATATTTTTATTTCCTAACTAGCTCATTATCAGCAACTAGTATAATGTATGTGCGTGCGCGATACTATTACTACTTCTAGGGGAGACCTAGGTGAGTTGTAACAGAGGAGAGTTATGACATTTTCGATTTTTGGAAACCTATTAACTATCAGCGAGCTCGCAACAGCGCGCATTTGTTAGTTCGAGACTTGAAATAAAAAACGCGGACTGTTACGAGCTCGCTAGTTTTTAATAAGTTCCAAAGAATCGACAATGTCACAACCCTCCTCTGTTACAACTCGCTTCGGTCTCCCCTGCCAGTATCGCGTGTAACGGAACCTCGCGTACAATGACTCATAATTGGAGAATTGGATCAAGTTTATTTGTCTACTTCGAGTCTAGCTATAATAGGTTTATGTCTAGCAGGTTCACTACAAGTCTACTTCTTTCGCATAACCTGGTGTAGGACTTAATGAACTATAAATAGGCGTTTGATGTGGCTTAATTGGACTGACCAGCTAAACGTGTCCTCCGAAGTACAGAATATTTTGTCTGATTCAACCCTGCAATAGCCTAGGATATTAGGCTTGGCTAGCCAAACGGGAACAAATACCAACGTCTAAAACACAGTATGTGTACCCCAACTGTGAATGAAACCCGGAATCTCCAAATTGATTAAGTCTCACTCTTTTAACACCAGACCATGGAGCATTAGTAGTAGTAAATTTTTGAGTAACCAGACTTTATGTAGCTGGCAAATAATAAGAAAACCTTTTATAAAATCGCATTAAGATACGATATCATGCTCTAGCTCTGACCTTTTCAGTAACGTGGTCGTTTACCTACGATTACTTTGATCGTAACATTGAACCACACGCCCTTCTTATTTCTTTCTTTAACTCTGATTTCTAAACGACAAATCCATTTTCAATGTATGTACAATGTACAGTCCCTAGCATTTAAGATTGTATTTTTGTTGGAAAATCACTCCATTTGAACTACGTAAAAGGCTACAGTATTTAACTTGATGTACTGTACAGACGACAGCACATTATACTATACTTTTTTGTTGCAAAAATCACTCGTATTACAAGTGAATAAAAAGCCACAGTGCTAGCTTTACTTGCACATGCTTTCGCAAATGAAGTGCCAACTCAAATCATTTATGTTACTGATTAAAGAAGGTGAAAGTGTGTGGGAATGAGTCAGGTGACAACACAATACACGTTTTGTATTATATACAGCTATTTCAGACGATGCAAGAAAACGTTTTTTGTGACTAAATTCGTCTACATTTCCTCATTTCCTTATCCTTTGTATTATTAAGCGACGCAGCGCGATCTTGGCACGAATGTCAAAATATTATTTTACATTGTGTATGGTGTGTGTCATTAGAGCGCCGTTACAGCAAGGATCGCTTAATATGTAGTTGAGTGACGTGCAGCACTGTAAAGCGTAGCTCAGCGCTATTCAAATGCCTTTAAACCTCTAGACAGGTGTACAAATTCCTTAAGATCTGTAAGTACTCCTGTCTATACAAGTAACCATAAATGTTGACAACGTAACTGGCCCGACATTGAATTTGTTAACCTGTCTGAGTCATTGTTAGGAAATTGGCACGAGTGTCTCCATTCTTAGCTCTAAAGAGAGGTCGTTAACCTTGTATGAACAAATGCTCATCAGGTACAATCGCTTACTCTAATCGCAAAACCACTTAGAAAAAGGTTTAAATATGTTTAGAATATGATGTAAAATAAATTGATTATAATTTTTTTTAAATTTTTTTTAAATATCCTTGGACATTTTACACTGCGCTTCTAGTCCCAAACTAAGCAAAGCTTGTACTATGGGTACTAGACAACGGATATAAACATACTTAAATACTTTTTTTTTTTGTAAATACATACTTATTATACATAGAAAACACCCAGTCCAATACAAATTTGATTGGATAGATGACCCCTCGACCCTCACATACGATGAACCTCTACGCTGGAGAAACTAGTGTGAAAGAATTTTATCTTCTTTTTTATTATGAGACTGATTTTCCACAATGACCTGGTCCTGTGCCGCCAGCATCTAATTCTATACCACGGGCTGGAAGACGTAGTGTGGGCAGACCCCCTACTAGGTGGACTGACGATCTGGTGAAGGTCGTGGGAGGTGTAAAAATATGTCATCGCCAAGAACAAATTGTTATTAAATTATAATTACATAACTTATTGTTTTCAGCTCTCATGGGAGAGAAGCCGTACCCATTCAAAGCGCCGTCTCCCCAAGATATGGTGGTGCTCCGCAAGTCCATAGAGCAAGGACTGACGGCCACAGTCAGGGATCGAGTGTGGGACAACCCGCGCTTCCTCGTCAGCAGTGGGAACACGCCGACTATCATGCAGGTATGAACCATAAAGTTAATATTCCTTCGGGATAGAGCAACAACCACGAGCTGTCAAACGAAACCGATTTTGGATGACACTGGATATCATTTGTATGTCAGTGTCAAGATTATTTTCACTGTTTTGTACAATAAATCAATCACTGAACCAGTCACCATTTTTCTGAAGCACTATTTCCCATAAATTAAAATTCACTCACGTAAAATCTGAAAATATCTCAGAATTCAAATTTTCTGAGTGCCACTAAGTGCCTCTGAACTGTCAAATAGTTGAAAAAACGGTTCCGTTTGACGTGACGGCGACGGCATCACGCATCTCTATTTATGACACAGTGTTGCTGCTAGTGACATGACATCTTGCTTGCTCAGTTTGTATGAAACTCCATACTGCAACGTACACATATCTGCACCGTAACGTAAACTTCTCGCCTCGCGTTTGACAGTACGCGAAAGGCGATACGTATTGATCCCTTTCCGAGTTGATGTCTGCTATGAGCTTTATGCTTAGTGGTTTCTGTCATTGGTGAAATAAATAATAATAACGCATGTTTTTTTTAGGAAGGGTCGCGCTACAACGCCCTACACGTGGCAGCCAAAGCTATGAACGCTGAGCTCTGCAACCTGATTCTGACCACCGTGGGGAATCCTTGCTTCGTGCAGGCTTTATATGGCTCGGATGCTGACATAGAGTCTTGTAAGGTGAGCACTGTAATAAGTAATGTTATTGTAGAGAGTGAAAACTAACACAAAATTTAAAATAGATAGTAGAAGACAATCACCTGTATGTACTTAATTTTGCAGACGCGACTCAAGCGGGTGGCATTCGCGCTCGCACTGGTTTAGACTGGTTTGCGATTATTGGCGATATCGTATCCGTGTGCGTTGTCTATGTTTAGTTGCCCGAGCGCACTTTGTGTCTAGATTGTCTTCTGCTCCTATCTATTTTATGGTGCAAAGCAGTAATACTTCAAAATGAGTGATTGTTTTTATAATATTTACAAAAAGGAAACAATATTCTACTACTTGGCACTTGTCGCAAATGGTTCTGAAAGTGAAACTTTTAACTTCTTTAATCAACTGGTTGTTTTTTTAAAATCATGCTACCTAAGCTTATGTCCAATTAATTTCATGGATGGTTTCAAAGGTGATATGAAACATTAGTAGTCTATGGTAGTGTCTACTTCTTCCACACAATGTTCAATAATTCAATGCCAACGAATAATGGTATAAAATATGCATTAACTTTTCATTTGTCACAGGAATTCGCATCAATACTAGTGGACAGATACCTCAACACCCCCGACAAGCCTTTGAACGAGACGCCTCTCCACTTCGCGGTCAAATTCGGCGCCGAAGCGGCCGTGGACGTCCTCACATCCTTTCCTCAGTGCAACCTCGCTGCGGTGAACAAGTTTGGCGAACAGCCTAAAGATGTAAGTTTTGTGTTCTTTTTACCCGACAGTGCCAGAAAAAGGTTATTTGTTAGGGGCTTGCGCATTGCCAATGTTATTACAATTAGTAATGGTCATCTATTGTTTCTAATATTTAAAACTCAGCAGGACGCGTTTTCAAACTGTAGTCTATAAAACAAAAAACATTGCAATGACTCGGTCTGATTTTTAACTGTTACTTTGACCATTAATTCGTAAAATATGGGTCAAAAATTGTCCTTAAATGAGGGTTTTCGCGAATGAAACATCCGCTTGATGGCGGGACGTGGATGTGGGGTCTGACTGCTGCGTAATTGGTGGATTTTGACATATCTGTCAATGTCATGGCAAAAATAACCAATCATGCAGCATTTGGGCCTCGCGTCTACGTATTGCCTGTCGGATTTTTCATTCGCGAAAACCCTCATTGAAACTCACTCGGTTTCCAGGGATAAAATGGCGTGTTTTGGATTTTGATCCCTTCTTTGGACAAGTTTTTCATATTGAAAATATTTCCCAAACAGATAATCTGCAAGCGAGCGGCAAACAGTACGCCGGAGACGGTCCATCGCATCGCGAGCATGCTCCAGGAGCGCTACTACGTGCCCGTGTTGCACGCCGAGGACGGCAGCGGAGCGCCGACCATCGGCCGCCCCTTCACGCCCGCGCTGCCGCCCGTAAGCTAACTCTATAGTTAACCTATGTCTATAGTCTGGTTTGTGATCACGTAGAATTTTGTCCAATGACCCCAAGCAATCCATCCTTATCGCTCGCGCGTAATTATGTTGCTGTCGCGCTCGCACACTCACTGCGGGCGCCCGTCGCACAGTCGCGACAGCAATATAATTACGCGCGAGTGATAGAATGGGTAGCTTGGGGTCATTGGACAAAATTCTACGTGCTCACAGACCGGGCTTTAGTGTATTACTCAATCAGTGTCAGAGGTATGGGAGCGGCATAAGAGGGTATTTTTGTAAAGTCAAACATCAGCGAAACTTGAAGTTTCCTACAGAATTATATGCTTTGTCATACCTCACAACGCTCCCATACCTCTGGTACTGGCTAAGTTAAGCTTCAACCACACCAACGCGTGCAGATCGCCATCGCCGGCGCGATCTATCTGGTTCAGCGTTCATGAACTTTAATAGCGCCTTCGCATGAACGATATTGCGTTGCGAGCCGAGCGTTCATGTAGCGGAGAGTAGGTGTGACTAAAAATAGCAGCGTTAACTTAAGCATTCACCCCCAACTGAGAAATCGCTCGTGAGAAATGCACCTTAAATTAAATTCGTTTTTATGTGAGTACCTACTTAACTAGACAATCTCACCATCGTCAGCCTTTAATCTATTTTTGGACATAGGCCTCCCCAAATATGCGCCATTTTATCTGGTAGAAAAACTCATAAAACTTATTTTATTTTTGCAAGTAGGTCTTTTAAAAAGCACTTTCACTAGAACACTTTAGAATGCCCACAATGTAGGAATGGTATGCTAAACTGTGTTATAAAGGTATATTTATTTAGTAATTTTTTTTTCTCAGGAAATAAACCAAGACCCACTCAGTCCCCGGTACGAGATACGTGCCTTCGCCGGGCCTATGGACGCGGGCGGTGCGGAAAGTTTCCGCCGGCGGTGGAAGACGCCGCCAAGACAACGGGCAGCCATCGCACCCCCGGCTTTTAGGCTGCAAGAGATGTCTAAGGGCTTGGAGACTGTGGGCAGGTGAGCCATGAAGTCCATTTATTAGCAGGGTTCGAAAATATCCGATATGTATCCGATATTTATGATATACAGGGTGTCCCGTAATTCAACGTCCAGCCGGAACTGGGTGTTGAGGCAAGTTATACTGGTTATCAGTGTGGCATCTATGTGGCATTTTGTCAAAATAATAGGCATTTAATAAAATCAAACCAACACGGCAACACGAGTAAAAAGACCGTCACCGGGAATAGAATTTTTAGATTTTTTTGAAATGCCTATTATTTTGACAAAATGCCAAATAGATTTTTTTTTATATTTTTCTGATAACCAGCATAACTTGCCTCAACACCCAGTTCCGGCTTGACGTTGAATTACGGGACACCCTTTTATTAGGGACTTGTACAGTAGTGTCTTTCGAGCGTAACCATCATCGCCCGCGTACCGTCTTCGCGGCGCTAACATAGCGTCGCCGCAACGCCAATACTGAACATTATTTTCGCACAAGTAATGCAGTAGAGAGATGCTGAATAAAGACTACGAATCGCCATAGACGTCTGATATGCCTCAATCAGACCATATCTCTAACGTTCTCTCTTCTCTCTGAACACATGTAATTATATTTACAAAAACTCATTTTATTTTGGCAAGTAGGCTTTTAACCCTACCGCAGCGCAGGGACAATAAATGGGCCAATGTTGAGAAGAAGCAGCACAAGAAGCTCAGTCACTCTCACTTTTGTCTGGCTCTTTTTCAGGGGTTTACAAAGTCTTTAAAATATAAATAGTTATAAATATTGATGGGAGCTATTTTAACAACTAATTTATTTCTTCCAGGGACCTAGCGGAAAAAATGAAAGTAGGTTGGAAAGAGTACTGGCCGTTCCTCGATACCTTCACGGACCTAAGAACTCCTGAAGGTCTCGCTCTCCTCGAGAATTACCTCAAGGGGAAATACGACAGCGCCTGTTCTTTCGCCTATAACGACAGCTGTGCGCAGTCCCAACAACCCCCAGACGAATTATCCCTCTCCAGAATAAGCCTCTCCGACACCTCACAACTCACCCCCATGAAAGACCCCCTAAGCCCCATGACAGAACTCTGTGTCGCCATGAAAACCTGCAAAATAACCGACCGACCGCCCCACTGGAGGAAAACAGACCCCATTCGACAAAGGCTGTGCAGGCAGCCCAATGCAAAACCTATATTGACAAATGGAGATACCCCACCAATAGTAAATCACACTGTCAGCCAACTCCTCTGCATAGAAAGGACGTGTCAAGTCTTCGCTAAAAGAATAGCGGACGCTTTAGTATTCTCATTGACCGCGGAACCCGAAGTCGCCGGGGACTCCCTGAAATCAGAAGCAAAACACCTCCAACACACGATGTTCACATACATGGACGATGAGAGATTCCAAAAGATTGACTTCGCGTTAATACACTCTCGATTAGCTCAACTAGTTGTGTTCAAATTGAAGCAGCAAACTCAAGATCTGGACGACATAAACACGTTAGTTGAGTTTTTGATAAAACTGAGGTGTCCTAACGACGACATATTTAGTTCTGACGACGAGCGCAAGCCCGCTATGTACAGAGGGACCAATAGAGTCAAATTGACGCACGTGATCGATTGTCACGTTAGATGTTTAGCTAGTTTTATATGCGAGGAGTTGACGGAAAATGATCTGATAAAGGGCCCGGCGATATCGGAAACTGAATGTTTAGATATATGGCAGAAAGCCTCGAAGTGCAGGTGCGAATGGAAGATCGAGGTGTTCGAGAGAAATAGCAAAAAGAACGCGTCGTTCAGAAAGAATAGATCAATTTTGTCGACGAGCCCGAAGGGTGAAAGCTTTATTAGAAGACTGACGTTCGACCATGATATTGGTAAGTTTTATTTGCCAGTTTGCTAATAATATGTTTGGCTTTATGTCACTATTTTAGCTCACGTCTCCTGAAGTGATAATTTTAAAATCAGTACAATTTTTTGTTGAATAAAACCTGTGTATTTTTCAAGGTATGGAACATTTAGAAGCTTGCAATAATTTTGATTATGCAAGTTTGTGTCATTTTTGTACAGCTCATTTAGTAGATTGCGAGCGAGTAAAAAAGCAAAATTAAATGTGCTATACTGGCGCGCTCCTGCGGTCTTGTACAAATATGATTCTGACCAGCTTAAATACTGCTTTCAGTGCCATAGTCAATCAGTATATTTCGTATCTCTGTCCACCTTTCTAATCAAATTGTATTTCCCAGGTGACGGCAAGCTTCAACACAACGAGACTGAGAAGCCGGTGTCGGTGAACTCACCGGCCGGCGACAGCGGAAGCGCGTTATACACGCTAGATGTCGCCAAGTGCCAAGTGGTCGAGGCAGAGGTCAGTGAACACTGGGGTTATTTATTTATTTAATTGTCATTTAGTATGGAACTGTCATTTTAACAAGTGTTCAAAGTGTGTTTTAAAGAACCAATGGAATCGTTTCATATACCTCGCCTCAGTAAATAAAGCGATTCTGTTGGTTCTTTATAAACACATCCCTCGCTATGCATCCTTGCACATCTCTGGTGGAAAGGATGCGAAAAATACTATTTGAGATCACTCACATGTCTGTCATCCCGATAAACTTGAATACCCAATAATTTTAAGTTGTTTAGTTGTCATAGCACAAATACAGCTTTGTATAGATACTCAGACTATGCGCTCCGCGACTAGCTAGATTGAGCAACAGAAACACGTGGTATTTCAGAGCTTACAAAGTCCAATTTTACAGTTAATTGAAAGTTTATTGGGTATTCCGATCTGATAACGTGTTTTTGGGTATCATAAGATTAACAGATAACATTGGCAACAAGTGGCCGACTCACAGTTGTTTCTCTTTCCAGATATCAGAAGACGAGTCCGGCGGATCGTGCCACTCGGAGGGCGAGGAGGCCTACCTGACGGCCTCCGAGCACTCCGAACGTGAGCCCGAAGCCGAACGCATGGAGGAGGCCAGCGATAGGGCCGTCGCTGAGCCCTTCATATACGGGTAAGGCCACAGAATAATAATAAGTACTACGTACAGAAGTTTTACTTCGCGAAGGTATTTAAAAAAATGTATGCTCAATGTCAATAACATTAAGGTGTAATTTAGTCTGTCTCAAGACTCAAGCACCATTTTGTTGACAAACGTCAGTGATCGGCACTGCGCCGAAGCTATAGGGCTGACTTCGGTAAAATGATGTGACGTGAGGTGCCAAACTGCGGAAAATGGCGGAGGAAATACATGATTTAGCATGAATTATCATGAATAATATTAACTACTTATTTACCTCTCAGTGTCTTGAGGCAACTTAAAAAAGTACATTCTGTGTTTTTATTATTATTTAGGCAGTTAAATACTGCACAGTATTTAGTACACCATTTTTTTTATTTTCCTCCATCTTCCATCATACACAAGAATACGCGTGCGTGAGTCAATGTTCGCTCGTATGTGAGGCCTTGTCGAATAGTATCCTGTGCGTGTTTTGTTTTCGATGTAAACTCGCGGAGATGAACAGGCCTGGTAAGGCTCACAAAAGCCACTTTGTCTTAAACCGGGTTTTAGGTGTTGATGCAGCAGCAGGTTTTACCGGTTTGGAAAAATGTCGTAAAACACGGTTTACCCGGTTTTGGTGAAACGGTTTTTGAAACCCCTAGGCAAGATATTCCGGATCGAAGGACCACGTTCACATATTTCATCAAGCTACTTCTTCCCGAAGATAAGCGTCATGTATCGTCGAATGATATAAACTACATTTAATTTTACATTAGGTATCAAGAGATTGTATAATATGCGAATCAAGGTGTACGGTGGCTGGCAACTGTCCCTTCATGGACATCCATGAAATTGTAGGCCCTTATACAGGATGTTCCAAAAAGTGATGTGTGAAACCTCACTAGTGAACAGTAGTGCAAATGTTTTAACTACGTCAAAAGCTGATCAATCTTTTTGTTGCGATACACGATAAACTTTAAATAAACTATTGTCCATTATGTGAGTTATCTTTGAAGCTGTTAGTGAAACGCATTTGAGAATTTCAAAAACTGACAAATTAATATGACAATTATTCTCGTGCTTTCCAGGGAGGAGCCAACGAAGATGGACCGTTTAGTGTTTGACGCAGTGTCACAATGTGACATCCGGCCCGAGCAGCTGCCTAACGTGTATCGCTGGAGACACACTGTCTCGCTCTACACGCCCGCTGAGAGAAACAGGTTAGTTCAGAAAGATAACGATACAGTTTTTTTGTTGTTACACTTTCATTTAGGTACACAAATGCAGCTAAAGTTACGATTAATTGTCTCCACCGATGGTGGTCGACTGGTGTTCTTAGATATAGGCTCAAGGAACTGCTAGTTTGCTATCATAAATAATGTGAAATCTATTCGCTATCGCCAACTGCAATACGTGGAAACCAAAGCGATAAGTATGCTGTATGTCTTCGTTGGATAGCTGTACTTATCCTTTTGTGAAAGGAAAAGGCCAGCATTGTTGTTTGCCGAAAGATTTTTTGTTTAATTTAAGCGATATGAGTGTAACATGATTCCCTAACCCGTCTGGCCAGCGTAAGGAGTGTAGGCCAAATCCTCCTTTTGCCTCTGGTAAAGATAGGGTCGCCCGTCTGCAGTGAAGGATAAAAATGGTCGTTCTGTTCTCAAGTTCCAAATCTCTTGTCTATTTTCATATTTAATCAAACCCAATATCCTTATTTCCAGCTGGCAGCCAGCACCTATGGGAGACGACAGCGTGTCATCCTGCGCGTCCTGGAGCATCCCCATCAGTCCGCTGGCGCGCGTCCGTCCGCGTCCGCGGCTGTCGCCCGCGCGCGCCTCCACGCCCAATAAGGATCCTTGCAAGGACGACAGCTCGTCCTCGAGAGCTGTGCCTCTGCAGGTCAGTAGTTACTGTCATTCAGCTCCCATAGCAGATGATAGCGTGTCATGATGCATCGTGGACGTCTACACGTAATAAAGATGCTTGCAAGGAATTTTGCCCGTCTTCTAGAGCTGTGCCTCTGCAGGTCAGTAACTAAAGCCTGGTCCGTGAGCACGTAGAATCCCGTCCAATGACCCCAAGCTACCCATCCCTATCGCTCACGCGTAATTATGTTGCTGTCGCGACTGTGCGACGGGCGCCCGCAGTGAGTGTGCGAGCAATATAATTACGCGCGAGCGATAGGGATGGGTAGCTTGGGGTCATTGGACGGGATTCTACGTGCTCACGTACCAGGCTTTAGTATGATAGACACTGTATAGTTGGTACTTGGTATACAGTTCCCATGGCTGACATCATTGGAATTGATAGTGAGGAGTCTCCTTGTCAGTTCTCTAGCTTGTGTCTGCGCACGACTACACGCCCAATAAGGATGCTTGCAAGGACGACAGCTCGTCCTCGAGAGCTGTGCCTTTGCAGGTCAGTAACTAGTATGAATGATAATAACATTTGTGTAGTTGGAAAACAGTTCCTATGGTGGACGTCTCTCGAGTTGAAAGTCGAGGAGTATCCCTGTCAGTTCCCTAGCTTGCGTCTGTACACGTCTCCACGCACAATAAAGACCCTTGTAAAGATGACAGAGCGTCATATAGAGCCATGCCTATACAGGTCAGTAACTATCACTAGTGTAGCTTGTGGACAGTGTCTATAGGGGACGACAGCGTGTCATCCTGCGCGTCCTGGAGCATCCCCATCAGTCCGCTGGCGCGCGTCCGTCCGCGTCCGCGCCTGTCGCCCGCGCGCGCCTCCACGCCCAACAAGGATGCTTGCAAGGACGACAGCTCGTCCTCAAGAGCTGTACCTTTGCAGGTCAGTAACTAACACTAGTGTAGCTTGTGGCCAGTGTCTATCCTAATAAGGATGCTTGCAAGGATGACAGCTCGTCCTCGAGAGCTGTGCCTCTGCAGGTCAGTAACTAGCACTTGTGTAGGTTGTGGCTAGTGTCTAGTGTCTATAGGGGACGTCTCTCGAGTTGAAAGTCGAGTATTCTATCAGTTCTCTAGTTGCGTCTGCCCACGCTTCAACGACGAAGAAGGACTCTTACAAGGACGACAGCTCGTCCTCGAGAGCTGTGCCTCTACATGTCAGTAACTAGCACTAGTGTAGCTTGTGGCTAGTGTCTATAGGCGACGACAGCGTGTCATCCTGCGCGTCCTGGAGCATCCCCATCAGTCCGCTGGCGCGCGTCCGTCCGCGTCCGCGCCTGTCGCCCGCGCGCGCCTCCACGCCCAACAAGGATGCTTGCAAGGATGACAGCTCGTCCTCAAGAGCTGTACCTTTGCAGGTCAGTAACTAACACTAGTGTAGCTTGTGGCCAGTGTCTATCCTAATAAGGATGCTTGCAAGGACGACAGCTCGTCCTCGAGAGCTGTGCCTCTGCAAGTCAGTATCTAACACTAGTGTAGTTTGTGGCTAGTGTCTATAAGGGACAACAGCGTGTCATCCTGCGTGTCCTGGAGAGTCCTGTACAATGTCATTAGGAGCATCCCCATCAGTCCGCTGGCGCGATAGCGTTTCGTGTTGCGCATCTTGAAGAATTCATAAGTGTCACAATGCTCCTAAAGTATCATTAGGAGCATCCCCATCAGTCCGCTGGCGCGCGTCCGTCCGCGTCCGCGCCTGTCGCCCGCGCGCGCCTCCACGCCCAACAAGGATGCTTGCAAGGACGACAGCTCGTCCTCGAGAGCTGTGCCTCTGCAGGTCAGTAGTCATTGTCAACCAGCTCCCATGGCAAATGACAGCGTGTCGTAAAGCGCATCCTGAAGCACTCTAGTCAGTCCGCTGGCAAGCGTGCTTCCATGCCTAATAAGGATGCTTGCAAGGACGACGAGGACGACGAGTTGAAAGTCGAGGAGTATTCTGTCAGTTCTCTAGTTGCGTCTGCGCACGCTTCAACGACGAAGAAAGACTCTTGCAAGGATGACAGTTCATCTTCTAGAGCTGTGCCTTAGCAGGTCAGTAACTATCACTAGTGTAGCTTGTGGCTAGTGTCTATAGGGGACGACAGCNATTGCAAGGATGACAGCTCGTCCTCGAGAGCTGTGCCTCTGCAGGTCAGTAACTAACACTAGTGTAGCTTGTGGCTAGTGTCTATATGGGATGTCTCTCCAGTTGTAAGTCAAGGAGTATTCTTGTCAATTCTCTAGTTTTCGTCTGCGTGCGTCTCCACGCCCAATGCTTGCAAGGACGACAGCTCGTCCTCGAGAGCTGTGCCTCTGCAGGTAACTAGCTAGGATGTCTGTCACTTGTGTATCTGGCAGCCAGTGCCCATTGGAGACGTCTCTCGAGTTGAAAGTCGAGGAGTATCCTGTCAGTTCTCTAGTTGCGTCTGCGCACGCTTCAACGACGAAGAAAGACTCTTGCAAGGATGATAGCTCGTCCTCGAGAGCTGTGCCTCTGCAGGTCAGTAGTCATTGACAACTAGCTTAGCAGATGATAGCGTAATGTGATGCACATCCTGAAGCATTCTCACCAGTCCTCTACGCCTAACAAGGATGCTTCAAGGATGACAGCTCGTCGTCGAGAGCTGTGCCTCTGCAGGTCTGTAGTCATTGTCAACCAGCTTCCATAGCAGATGATAGCGTGTCATGATGCGTCGTGGACGTCTACACGTAATAAAGATGCTTGCAACTAGTATGATAGACACTGTATAGTTGGTACTTGGTATACAGTTCCCATGGCTGACATCATTGGAATTGATAGTGAGGAGTATCCTTGTCAGTTCTCTAGCTTGTGTCTGCGCACGACTACACGCCCAATAAGGATGCTTCAAGGATGACAGTTCGTCCTCGGGAGCTGTGCCTCTGCAGGTCAGTAACTACTGTGTAGCTGGTAACCAGTGTCTATAGGGGACATCTCTCGAGTTGTAAGTCGAGGAGTATCACTTTCAGTTCCCTAGCTTGTGTCTGCAAGTGCCTCCAAAGAAAGACGACAGATCATCCTCAAGGGCTGTGCCTCTGCAGATCATTAACTCATCTGTGTAGCTGGCAGCCAGTGTCCATAGGGGGACGACAGCCTGTAATACCAGGCCTGTTCATCTCCGCGAGTATACATCGAAAACAAAACACGCACGATGGCCCACCTATAGGATACTATTCAACAAGGCCTCACATATGAGCGAACATTGACTCACGCACGCGTATTCTTGTGTATGATGGAAGAAAATAAAGAAAATGGTGTACTAAATACTGTGCAGTATTTAACTGCCTAAATAATAATAAAAACACAGAATGTACTTTTTTAAGTTGCCTCAAGACACTGAGAGGTAAATAAGTAGTTAATATTATTCAAACTAAATCCTGAGGCTAAAATCATGTATTTCCTCCGCCATTTTCCGCAGTTTGGCACCTCACGTCACATCATTTTACCGAAGTCAGCCCTATAGCTTCGGCGCAGTGCCGATCACTGACGTTTGTCAACAAAATGGTACTTGACTCTTGAGACAGGATAAATTACACCATATTGTTAATGACATTGAGCATACATTTTTTTAAATACCTTCGCGAAGTAAAACTTCTCGTCGGCGTCGTCGAACAACGTCGTATGATCGCAACCGTCAAAATCTGTTTTTTTGCATTAAACTACTCTAAAATAGCCCCTTTATAAACTATTTTTTTAATTTTTCAAAATTCGTAATAATATCGAAGATACAGAATCGAACACCGACGGATGTGATTATTCTAACGCAGTACAGAGACGTGTTTGTGCAAGCGTCATTGTACTTCGGAAGACTGCACATCGTTTGTTGGAATAGCTTATACATTTGTATTCGTATTGTTATTGAATGTATCTAGAATTTCGTCTTTATATCTACAAGTTTGGACACTTTATTGTTTTGATGACTGAAAGTCACAACCATCTCTTTACTAGGGAAGTCAGAGAAAAAAAAACTGTGACGTACGTACACACCCGTCGTTGTACTAGGAAGTTCGAAAATAAAAGAAACAGTGTCCTTTTGTTTTTATTTTATGGTATTTGTAGGTAGATTGATGAGTATAAACATTAAGAATGTTTGGTACAAAATAATTGTTTTTGGTGGCGGATGTACTGAACTTACATTGTTCTAAGGACTTTTGTTTGACGTTTGATCAGAACCATCGTTGTACTTCGGTAAAGTTTGGTAATTTTGACGTCGGATATACACAACCGACTTTGTACTAGGGACGGGTATTCCAATTGCGTCTTTGTTCTATTTTTAAATTGCTTAAAAAATAAAATAAAAAATTGAGACTACAATAATTTGATTTTAATGTGTTTCTATTTGACGATTTGTTACTCAAAATAAACATTGTGTTAAAATTAAAGTTTTTTTTGCGTATACAGGATGACATCTTGTAATGAGTGAACATCCTTGTAAAGGATTATAGTGCATGTCATTTGCAATCAAATTAGATAAGTATTTGCCTACGCAAAACACAATGTAATTTTTCCATACAAAAAATCAAAATAATAATAATTAATATCCCGTAGCTGATTTTAAATTTTCCTGCTTTTAAGCTAAGGTAGAAAAAGCCCAAACTATAAATAATAAAAACAATAAAAGACTTTATTAAACACACAGTAAAACATAAAAGTAATAAAATAAAAGAAAAAAGTGTGATAAAGGGGCGCCCGCTCAATTTTTATCGGAACACCATGTTAGGATGTCCCTATTAAAACTGAGAAATGCTTGACTTTTGCCTAGGCATATACCTACATAAATAAATTGGTTACAATAACCTGTTATCCCTTACAAGGATGTTCACTTATTACACGTCACCCTGTAAGTATAGGTATGCTTAGAAAGCTTTTCGTCTAAGTTAAATTTTATACTTATTTATTTTATTCATTTCTAAGTAGCACTTACTCCGTCAAATCAATGCCCCCTTTACCCTTTCAAGCAGATCCCAACATTATTCAAAAAATGCAAGATCTTATAGGTGATAGTTTTTGCATCCAGTGCCTTCCTGCTACCTTTATGAGATCATCGTTCCGCCTTGGTTTGTGGGTGGATGTCGCACGCTTCGTTTTTCGGTATGCAGCCTACTCCAGAACCTTGGTGCCCCATTGGCCGTAAGTTTTGCGTACTATGTGTCCTGCCTATTGTCACTCAGCATGCTAATCTGTCGGGATATGTCATCGAATTTAGTTTGTTTACGGACCTCCCTCATTTATGATTTGATCTCGTAAAGAAACACTGACATAACCCTTGCTATAGCACGCCGTGCAACTTTGAGCTTCTTTGAGAGCCAACGTTTTGGACCTATAATAGGGTAACACACACTGATGGTAGACTCTCGTCTTTAGGCACTTTAGGATTTTGGACGAAAAGATGTCTAGTTTTCCGGATACTGCCCAGTCGAGGTAGATTCGTCGATTGACCTCTTTCTCGAAGTTGGACCTACCTAGCTAAATCTTTTGTCCAAGGTAGACATCCTACTTGTCAACAATCTCAAGAATTGAGATCCCAACCGAAGTTGGGTAGGGTGCAACATGGACATTCGACATAAGCTCATTTTTTCCATGTTCATCCAAAGGCCCCGTTGGGATACTCGATTAAGGTCTTTAATATTGTGTCGAGGTCTTCCAAAGATTCTGCCATGACCATAATATTATCGTCGGCATACCTAAGGTGAGTGTTGTACTCGTCGTTGATATTTATGCCGAATCCTTTCATTCCAGGAGTTGGACAGGTGAACAGTTTTGGAAATAGGTATAAAATCTCCCAGCCTTACGCCTCGCTGTAGTGGAATCGCGCTCGTGCTCTGCATTGTATTCGGGCCGGATTGGTGCGTTCATGTAGAAGTACTTCAGTACCTCGATGTAACGAGAGTCGATACGGCCGCGGTGCAGGGAGAGATTGCAGCACTGCCCAAATCTCGATCAAATCGAAGGCCTTCTCACTCTTCGATCTTCTGCATAACCTGCCGCAGTATATGGATGTGGTTTATCTATCCTTGATTTTTGTTAATTTTCTTTGATACCTATTGTCTTTATTTATAAATTAATTAATAATGAAACCTAATAAACAATGTTTTTTATTTATTTCCTCCAACTTTCTTCATCATCCGACGGGTACTCATGGCAGAAGTTCCGTAGAATAATGACTAAAAGTGACATACGTCATATATTTGATTAAAAAAATTCGCAGAACAACGACGGTTTATCACATACATCCTCAAATTGTCCATAGAATAATGACGCATGTGATTTTTACAAAAAACTAAGTATTTTTGGAGATGGGTACATAGTTTATATAAAATAACATCTTTATGTTTATAACATCCCCAAATTTGAAACCGATCAGCCAAGTAGTTTTTTTTGTAGACACAAAAAACCGGTTCCAAAACTTCAAAACGCTCTCCTGGAAACTTAACATTTTGCAGATACGTCGTTGTTCGACGACGCCGACGTTCTGTACGTAGTACTTATTATTATTCTGTGGTAATACATACATAGGATAGTCGAAGAGCATTTCTTTTAGTTCCTTAACTTGCGCCCGCGACTTAGCATGTGTTCACGCCTAAGAAAGATGTTAAGAGTAGCAACAGCTCGTTTGCTAGAGCTGTGCTTCAGCTGGAAACAACTAGAAAACAACTCCCGACCTTTATCGAGTTCTCCAACATTTGTCGAGTTACTGACCCTAGGCTGCGCATGCGCAATGAGGGCTATCGTTTTAGCGCCACTGTAGAGTAAGGTCCTGTCACTTGCTAGTAGCGAGAACAGTGGCACCAACTGGTGAGCGCTAAAGTGGTAGGAGGACTATCGCATTTGCACTCATCAAGATGGCGCCACTGTAGAGTAAGGTCCTGTCAATCGCCAGGGGTGCCAACTGTTAAGTATAAAAACGATAGCCCTCATTCCTCAATACACGCTTTCACTACCAAAATGTACCGATTCTGTGACGTTTGAAGTCACTGCACAACATTTAGGCTGAGTTGCACCACCTAACTTTGACCGTAACTGGGTCATTGTCAAATTTTGCGCAGGTAAATGTGTCCCTCAACATTTTTTATTTTTTTGTTAGTAATAATGTCAAAATCCTTTACGAATTATGTATTAAATACAAAATACATCGCATTAGCGAACATCCACTATTGGAATAACGACTCAAGTTTCAATATTTTTATTTTTTTTTAAAGTAACAGAGTGGTCATTATTGGTAACAGAAAGGTTTTCCTTACAAATTGTACCTGTCCCATGTAGCATTCCGTTATAATAAACATCAAATAATTGCATTTTCTACTATAGTAACCTTCTTAAAATAAATTATCATCGTAAACAGAGTATTATAAATATTCAATAAAATATGTTTTAAAATCAGTCAGTATAAAATGGACTTTTTAAATAATTTTCTAAACTTTGTCCCACGTACTATCTGGAACCACCTGGACCACTATGTTACTAACTAATTCACGACTCAAAATGGAAATGGCGGTATTTTGGATATTGTTTAATCTTGGGTGGGATGTCTGCATTCGTCGTGGGAGTTCGTTAGATCGGGAGGAGAGGTAAGTCGCTCGGCAGTCGACCGCAAGGTGTTGAACGTGCTGCGTGTTTTTATTGCGCATCCACTTTGTTACCTACCTATTCACGTAAGTAAATGAATGTTTTTTCATTAGTTTACGTTCAGTATATTGTCTAAGGGGTAAATGTGTTAAATGTGAACGAAATATTTTGCTACACGCTTTATTTTTTGACTGGTGTATAATGGAATGTAAAATTTACCACTCTGTTGCTGCAACTCTGTTACTAGCGTGTGGTAACAGAGTTGTTTTGAAAGTAACAGAGTTGCTTATGCCATTATATTATTCTTTAATTTTGCTAAAATATTATGTTTCAATTACTGTTTTTTAATCAGTTGCAATTTAAAAAGTTCAAGCAATGGGTAACTTTGTTTTATACAAATAAATCGAAATAAAAAATATTAATCACTCATTGTTACAGGATATTTACGTTATTAAAATGCCTCTAACGCCTGCTGAGAAGCAGCGACGATACCCGAGAACGCCGTAGAAATAATCAAGAAAAAGACGTTAAAATAATGTTTTTAAGGCAATCGACGATAATGCAACAAAATTCAAATTAATTAAGTGATTTATCCTATGAGGCTTTTGATAATTTACTTGCCGTTGTTCCAGAACCTAAAAAAGTCTGCAAAGGTAAAAGAGTATACTACCAATTTCATAATCCCTTAGTTAAACTTGAGAAATAAGTTATTTCAAATTTTCAGCTACTCTTCCAAGAAAATCTAATTTTTATTACTATAAAGATAAGGAATCTATAAGAAAGTAAGCTCTTGATTGATAAATTACAGTCATAAGTTAATGTTTTGATGAAGTGATTTGGATCTCAAGCTCAATAAGTGCAAATTATTACATATTATTCAATAAAAATAACAACTATGTTACTGTGTTACAACTCTGTTACTTTTCTGTCCCAAAGATTAAAGAACATAGTAAGATTTTAAAGAAAAGCTAGTCAATATAATATAGCAAATATCGCGATGCGTTAATTTATTAGATATTTTTACAGTATTATGTTCCAGTTAGCTGCTGATAAATAGATATTTGGAGGACTTAAGTAGAATTTAAGGTATTTTAATATTGAAGAAGTAACAGAGTTGTTTAAGAGTATAGATTGATGATTGTTAAACTTAAAAAAAGACTGTTATGATTCTAAATATATGTAAAAGATATAATACTGTTTAATATTAGTCCCAAAATATTTGCGACTGACTTGTTTAATTTCATAATAAAAGCTAAAACGTAATGGTAACAAAGTTGTATTTTTTTTCACCCTGATCCATTAAATCTGGAATAAATCTTAAATTATTGGTTAAACATCGCGGCAAACTGTAATAGATAATAATTCAGTTGTTATAACGGACACGGACATAGAAAAAAGTAATATCTAAGCATATATTTATTTTGAAAAAAATATGATTTTAAGTTACATTTACCTGCGCAAAATTTGACAATGACCCAACTATGACTATAACCGGTGTTTTTTGTATGGAGTTTGACAGATTTTTGACGTTTTTCAAAGTTAAAGTAAGATGGTGCAGCCCAGCCTTAGCTATTTACTTAACATGTCGCAACTTGTTCCAGGTGTCGACATGGCTGCGCGTGACGGGCCCCAACTCGCCGCGGTCCGCGCTGGCGGCCAAGAGCCTCGGACACAACGTCAGCTTCGGCTTCTAATCGTAACCTCCTCTATCTACAATACTATGTAACCGTCGTTTGAACGCGTCATCACATTGTAGCACTTTTCCCAACCGCTGACGAGTAAAAGATCTAGCTATTAACAGGCCTGTTCATCTCCGCGACTTTCCATCGAAAACAAAACACGCACGATGGCACCCTACAGGATTACTATTCGACAAGGCCTCACATACGAGCGAGCATTGACTCACGCACGCGTATTCTTGTGTATGATGGAAAAAAATAAAGAAAATGGTGTACTAAATACTGTGCAGTATTTAACTGCCTAAATAATAATAAAAACACAGAATGTACTTTTTTAAGTTACCTGAAGACACTGAGAGGTGAATAAGTAGTTAATATTATTCATGTTTATTCATGCTAAATCATGTATTTCCTCCGCCATTTTCTGCAGTTTGGCACCCACGTCACATCATTTTACCGAAGTCAGCCCTATAGCCTCGGCGCAGTACCGATCACTGACGTTTGTCAACATAATGGTGCTTGACTCTTGAGACAAGCTAAATTACACCATATTGTTAATGACATTGAGCATACATTTTTTTAAATACCTTCGCGAAGTAAAACTGCTGTGCATAGTACTTATTATTCTATGCTATTAATTACACCCGTAAGGCGATATTGCTACGTGTGCCAATGTCATGTGATCTAACGGTTAAGACAAGCCACACAAGTCAAGTTGTCAAGTCAAAAATTAAGTTCCGATTGTTTTGTCGCTGCAGCGAGTGTGTAACTGGGACATTAGAAAGAAACTGTACCACAGAATAACGGTTGGATGGTCTTTTAGAGACTGTTTTCAGACCGAGAAGCCAGAATATTGTATTTCTTATCCCTTGTTGCTACTACAAGCTAGTGAAAAGTTTTCGTCGGCAGTGTAACGGTTAGCGTTCGACTAATTATATGCGATATTACTTTTCAGCGGTGGGACTAGAGCCTTAAATTAGGAGTACATAGCCTTTGAACCCAGCTAGAAGAAACGTGTCCGATAAAAGAAGTAATACCAATATCGGACTTACGACAGCTATGCATCTGTGATATCAATATGGCACGAAGTTATAAGTCTATATAAATTCCTAGCTCTGATAAGCATAATGTGATGACGATGGATATCAAACGACCGTTATTTTTTCAATACGTTCGGCACACACAAATACATTTTGTTAGAATATAATAGTTACTACACAAATATCACAAATTAATCTAATATCAACAAGTACAACGTTTTATCTTTTATCGAAATGGATTTTAATATAAATGAAATGTTTATGTAGAAATAGAAGAGATAAACGTATTTTTCTGTAAGTCACATCCATGTTGTGTGTGTCTAATGTATGAGATTTTTTTTAACTATACTGCCTGGGCCATTCCTTGGCAAGACTCGCCTAAATTAAAATCCTCCTGCGCAACTTTTTTAGGTATTTTTCTTCGCTTAGAATGGCCCTTATTCTTCCTCTAGGAAAGCGTGTAAGAACTCAATACATAAATAAGTGTATGATGAACTATTAAACAAAATATTTTCTTCAAATATTAAATAACATAGTTGACAAATACAAAAAAAAACAGAGAGTCTCCCTGCGTTCCTCACGACATGTTTCCACAAGGTGATTTATTTTATGTTTAGTTAATTATTCCGTTGATATTATTTGAATAGTCATTGCGTATGTATGTTTCAATTGGATAAATATTTACTTATATTTTGTATATCGAGATAGAAATTGATTGAATAATTATGGCGTAAGTACTTTATAGGTATATTTAGTTGTATGTACCGTTATTGGGGAATATTTCCAAAATGGATGTAATCCAGAACTTATTTACACGTAATTATCTAAACTAGACGAAAATAAACGAATTATGTGTAGTTGGAATGAAACGTGTGTAAAATAAGTTGTTTGTATGGCAACTGTTTTCTTTTTGCGGTTTTCTCCGTTTTAAGCACGATAATCTCACTATTGTTTCGTTTTTGATTGGTTACATTTGGCGTGACAGTTTAAAATAGTCTGGTGATAATTTTCCACCATTTATTCCGTAACCCTTTATGACAATAAAGTTGATTCAACTTCGTTAGCATTTATAATTGTGTTGAAGACTCAAGTCTTTGCTGTGTTATGTATTTATAAATGAGTATAGTTATTGCCAAAATGTAAGAACGTGGAATGTTGCACTGATACGTTTACGAATGTTTGTACTTTTATATATGAAGAAGAAAAATTGTAAAATAAAAATGTATGTTTTATATTATGTTTTAATTCACATAGACATTAGAGAGAAATAAATTATAATTATGACTGGTTTCACTTTTGGTTTTATTTTGAACTGATAAATTTAGGAGTCCCAAAAGTTGTCGTCTTCGGACGTCTTTGGTAGCGAGATAGGGGATCGGTTGTCGTAGTCGGATCGGCTGTTGTAATTGTCGACGTCAGCAGAAAAGTCGTCAGGATAATCTTCAGCGCCTTTTTCATAATCACTCATTGAATCTTCTATGAGATCTTTCGAAATATTCAACTCCATTTCCACGCTGGATTGGCGTTTGCTAGCGTCTGCGTGGAATATGGCGTCCAATACATCATTTCGAGTCAATCTGGCTGCTTGTTCTGGAGACACGCTCCTTTCCGTACGAGGAGACTTTTCGAGGCACTCTTTGATGCCATCAGGAACGCTCCGTTTTGGGCTGACTATTATAGTCATCTGTGTGGATATCTTCTCATGCTGTATCTCGCTATGAGATACATCTATCTCTCTCGTGTCGACTGTGCTTTCGACTACCAACAACAAATCCCCTTGCGCATTTGATTCTACCACGTTTAGACTATGCGTTTCGCTGATCTGTTCAACTTCTCGTAAACTCAAATCGGTTTCATTTTTCTCTTGCTGTTTCGGAGATTCGCTTTTTCCTAGTGAACTATCAATTTTCTGCTCGATTTCGGCGTTGTCTTGCAAATTGTACATTTTACCAAAGTTGTCTTTTAATATTTCTAGTTCGTTTTTCTTGCGTTTACCGCTTCTGCTTGACTTGCTTCTGGACTCAGATGACTCACGTGTACTCGCTTCATCTTTGTTACTAATTTTGTCTATTTCTATTGACTTTTCGGGGCTTCCTGCTCTTCGTGGAATGTCTATGGGCAATGTTGGCGATGGTGATCTCTGAGAATGATACAACTTCCTAAATTCTGTCAACGGAGTTTCTAAATAGTTGTCACGTCTTTCTGGTTCCTTCAGTTCCGGTTCTATTTTTGAATAGACCTCGGGTATTGGTTTACTCTTTCCGACCACGGAGTTGTTTTTGAAGTGAGATGCGCTCGCGTTGAATTTAGTTTGGTATTCGCATAGATACTTTTCGAAGTCTTTCTTGAAAGCGATTTCATCATGAGTTATGGTGAAATGCGGTATGCTTTCCATTCTGTAATTATCTTCAGGTCTATGGTGTGATCTGCTTCTGTGGATGTCTGTTAAAAATAATATACATAAAGGTAAATGCTTATACACCTTGCTATTCAATATGCCGTTTTTACTTACTACAACCTAATCGAGTTAATGAGGGTGTTCGCGATTGAAAAATCCGCCAGATGGCGGGACGTCGATGTAGGGTCTGACTGCTGCGTGATTGGTGAATTTTGACATATCTGTCAATGTCATGTCAAAAATAACCAATCATGCAGCATTTGGACCTCGCGTCTACGTATGCCATCTGGCGGATTTTTCAATCGAGAAAACCCTCATTGCGCACTTGCTGGAATGCGACTCTTCCACTTACCAGCGTTCGCCCCGTCCGTGCCAGAGCGTCGATATGTGACGTCACGGCTGCCAGATGCGCATTTAACTCAATCGGGTTGTAGTTATGTGTTTCTGGAAATTAAAACTCACCTAAACTCCCAATAATATCTTTATTGATAACCGAAGTTTCCGTCAAATGGCTCCGTCCCTGTTTCATCTCCGACTGTCTCTTTCTAAAGTCTAAGTACGACTTTTCGACCGCCTCCGCTTCTATTTCCAACTTGCGGAGTCGAAGTTTCGCCTCTCTGAGCACGGCACTAGGGCTCTTTTCGCGTGTCGTGGTCGGCGTGTTATCCTTGGTGTAGCTTTGGCTGAAAATTAAATAGGAACAGAATATAAAATATAAGCAACTAGCGGCCGCCAGCGACTTCGTACGCGTGGACCTCGTTTTACCCCCGTTAGATATCATATTGATAGATGGCGTTTCACGGCTTCCCCCGCATGAATATTTACGAACGTCAAAAACAGTAGTTAGTTGGTCCAGCGCTGTAGATTTTAACCAATGACGATAGATAGCGCCTTTTAGACACGTCTTATTTATTCGTCATGAATTATAGCCTATATGTTAATCTGGGTTATAAGTTTCAACAAAATGCGTGAAAGAGTAACAACCATCCAGACATCGAAACTTTCGCCTTTATAATATTAGTAGGATTCTCAACTCTATTTCACAAGCTTTAGAGCACTTTCTTACTTCCTCAGTTTCTCCTTGGCTTCTCTTAACACAGTTTTCGGACTTTTCTCTCTTGACTGGTGTGGGTGTTCTGTTACCATTGCTGTTTTTGGTCTTTCTCTGTAAAAGAAGATGCTTATTTAATTTTGTAGAAAGACGTTCTTATTTCGCGAGGAATAAGGTCGATAACAATGTCCGATTTTATAACTGATAACTAAATATATAAATATTGTGTGTGGTATGCCCTTTTGAACTATCGTATTAGGGCATGATGAAAAAAATCGAGAATAACATAACTTATACCGTGGATATGCTTGGAATGTGAACGTTCTGTTCATGTGTGTCATATCTTCAGTTTCTTCTTGCGGTTGAGATTCAAGAGGGGTTGTCCTTGTAGTTGTGCTTGATAACACTGGATTGAAATCTAAATCATAAATAAATAACACGATTTGAATAGAAATAATTAAACAAACAATATGATAAATGTTTTACACTTCGTGATTAAAACCAAACTAAGTTATGCTTGTATTGTGACCCAAAGAACGACCATAAAGATAGTTAGATTAATACTAAGATTCTCACCCGATCTTGGTTCCCTTGGAACCCTTTCTCGCGGCACCGCTACAGGGTTCCT